GCATCAACAATCAACACATTCGGTTGCCGGACCATTCGATCGGCGATATGTTCCGCAATTCGTTCAGGCGTCACAGAGAACCATCCTTCTAAACGATAATGCAAACAGTAAAAAAAAACCATCGTCTATAAGCCGAGAACGAAAAGAGTGAGAAAAACGACAGACAAAGTTCTCACTTAGACCTACCTCGGTCCATCAAAATCCCCTTGTCGAGTCTCGAGAACAAACGATACCTCTGATACCAATACTTGATAATTTCCTAAAAGCAGAAATCAATTCAAAAGAAAAATAGAAAAAGGTCAAGCCAATGACTGCTAACCTCATCGTCCCTGTAGGCTTCATAGGCATACTTGGCCACTAGATGGGCATCTTTGATGGGGTCGAATGCGAATGAAATATTCGCCTCAGGCTTGTCGTTCTTTTCTGTTAAAATGTCCTTCTTTTCTGATTCATCGTTCTGGCTTTCATTCATAGTCCCACCATCGACTGCAGAATCCTCTTCCTCAGCAGTTTTTTCCTTTCTGTATGAACATACTTCAAAAGATGTCCAAAGCGGCATTTCGAAAGGAGAAACATGAAGTCCTCTCCTTTCACAAAAGATTACTTTGAAAATGTTGTTACAATCAGAGAGCTTACCTATTAAGCACTACGCCCATTGACGCCGCATAGGGATCGTAGACGTCGTAATAGATATCGCTGAATATCTAGAAGCCGTAGTAGGAGATTCGTGGTATGACAATTGTAACATACTAGTTTTTTCTTCAGCATAACAATACAATACCAACCTCATCGTCACCATAAATAATTGGGAAACGTCTCTTGCGCTCTCGTTTCATCTTCTTTTCTTCAGGGGCTTCCTCAACTGACTTTGGTGCTTCTTCCGCTGGAGAAATTATATCTGATTTGCTGTAGCCAGGGACAAAGCCCATCTTTTCGATCTGAACTTCCAGAAATGCTAATTAGAATTAGTCAGTAAGTGACGAAAAGGATAGAAGTAGAACGGATATGATGATGATGATAATAGATGATAATTACCTTTTTGAGAAACGTCTTACAACGCTGACTGGTCAACGAGATGTGGAACAATTCGAAATCTTTTTCTGCTAATTTCATAACAGCTTCCGTATGTAGTGCAAATAACTCTTCGTAAGTAGAAAACTTGACATTCTTGGTAAGTCCGAAATATTTCGAGATGTGCTGGAAATCATATTTTGTTTGCGGTGAAAATGGGGAAGTTACTAACTCCTCAAATTCGAAAAATGCTGTATTGAAGATAGAAGGAACGATGGACTTATTCAGAATAATTGAAGTTGCCTAGCTAGCTGTTTCGTCTTTTCCAGTAGCAAACTATCGAACTACTGCAGACCAAGAAAACTAACCCAAACACCGAAAAATTAAACAGCGAAGGTGCTAGAATTAGGTAAGGCTGCTGCCAATTCACAAAAGGTGCCTATTATTTCTATGTCACCCGTGAAACTCAGAAATGAAGCAGAAAGAAAACAAGATTATTACCCGCTATTCAAATTTAATCAATTTTAGAAGTAACTCGCCTCTTCAGTGTGCGCAGTAATCAAAGCCATTGGCTTGCATTCATCGACCTGTTTCGCTAAAGCGCTTCTATCATCCTCATTCATGATGCTACCGTAATCTTCATACCAAGTGCGATAGACTAAATATGATGCGGTATCCTGAACAAGTTAATCTGACCATACTAAAAACAAATGAGGAAAAATTCAATGCTCACCTCCCAATACTCATCGAAGCTAGCATCTTTTAACCACCGCTGAGCGTCATCAATCGTCCTCTTCCTTTTCCGATAATATTTGCTATGATCTTGCTTTTTCGCCGAACCAAACCGTTTCGGCAGCTCTGCCCAAGCATCTGCCTTCAGTTCAAGAGGCTTCGACTCTATAAGGTCTTATTTTCATTGAACAAGTGGGCAGGAAGAAGGAAACTTGCGAACGTGGCGAAGCATGCGAAACCGTGAGAAGCGCACCTTTCTCGCCGGTGGCTGAACTTTCGTTTGTTTCGCATGACTGAAGAGTGAGAGCATTGTCGTTATCTTCGTTGTCGGAAAGCCCCATCGCTACAACAGAATCCACCAACACTTCAGCGCCAGGCGATTCGACAGTACGTTTACGTTCACTTAGTTTGACGAGATCTTTATCACTGAAATGGGTTAAGTTTGAAATGGGTTAAGTTCATCAGGAAATACACGGTGGATCATCAGGAAAAGTGGTGTGCTTGCCAGCAGAAGGGAAGTAAATCGGTGAAAAACTAATGAGGGATCACTGTGAGAATTTATACCGAGCCATTATATATCACATATCCATTGCGGTAATAGAAAGAGCATTCAAGCGAATGGAGTTTTCCAAAACTTTAGGACCAATCGTAGTGAAATGAAAAAAGCGCAAGCTGAAGCTGGGGAAACCTAGTAGAAAATATGTATTTTATGGCATGAAAACTACAAGATATCACCACGGGTAACCAAACACCGTTCTCATGAAAAAGAGATTAAGGAGAGATTTTGGAAGAAACTCACTTCAGATGAACTCTCGATAGACAGCAGTCGTAATCGCGGGTGGTATCGTCTGTTGGATTCGTGCGTTGGAAAACCGCATAGAAATCAGCCAAATGTTCCCAAGGAAATCGAAAATCGTCGACAAAAGTGGAGTCAGTATCCTCCATATGGTGATTATCACCTATAATCAAAAACCATTTACCTATAAGCAGCAACATCATAAGATTCTAAACACATAAACAACCTGACATAAATTAAATTGAAATACATAGAACAAACAAACAAGGTACGAGAATCTTATTGCGAGCTTGAAAAAGAGTTCCCTTCCAAACCATTCGGAACTCACCACAGAAGAAAATCCGTGTGGTCCACAGCTATCAGCAACTTGTGTTTTACAGGTCTCCAGTAAATATTCTACGATTATAATGATTCGAATTTCAAATGCAACAAATTAGACGTGAGTCATAGCGTGTGCGGTGCATAAGCAGCCTTCGCATAGTACAGTACCTTGGAAAAATTTGCGGGTAGGCACAGCGAACGGCCCAACGGCCTACGGCAGCGCGTGCGGATTCCATTTGTTGCTTACCTTTTTGTTTGTTTGTTTGTTTGTTTGGCTGTCCACTCATTTTACTTAAGTAAGCTATGTAAAGTGAAAAATTGGTTAAAAGATCCTTCTACTTTCTATTTGCCATTTAAAAAAAAAACGTCGAGAGCTGAAATATTTAAATGATTGTTCCATTTTCTTGGGAATTCTCACTGTACTATGGGGTGTGAAACTCTTTGATAGGGACAAAATGGAGGAGAGTATCGATTGAGGGGCGACTTTATGGTAGTTTGCTATTAAGCCTATGGGTTGGGATTACGGTGCTTCAGGGGCGGCATGCCTATGAATGCCTAGGCCTGGCTTAGGGAAACTCGAATGATATCGGTATTTGGAAGGGTAAAAGGTAGAAAACAGAATCATATGTATTCTATGATACATCAAAAATTTTGTTTTACAAAGAATATGAAGTTTGAGCAACCAAAAGGTAGGAAAGAATCGCTTGTGGTTCGAACCCACACGGAGAAGAGCACCTGGTTAAGCTGAACGTGCCAGCAGAATGTCGACGTTTCCTCTGAAGAACATAGAAAGCCGTTTCACAACTAATGCTGGTTGCCCTATTCAAATGCGAAAGAGCTGTGATCAATTCCATTTATGATGCCACGTCTATGGACAGAAGCGAAATCATGGGAACGTCTGAAAGCATATTAAACATAAGCGAGGCTGTTGTTCCCTGAAGGTTTTTGTGTCTCTTTAGATCGATTTGGGATCGATTTTTAGGCTCCATCGAGATGAATTTTCGAGAATGAGAGCAAAAATTCCGAAAAGTTCCGTCAGAAGTCCGATCTACTGTGAATATTTGGCAGATACTTTCCACCCTACCTGATATTTCTAGAGATAAAGTGTTATATGATTTGATGATATCTGTATCAGCTCCTCTAGCGGAGGCGGTGTAGTGGCACTAGGCGCACTATCACACGCGCATGGTCAGGGGTTCGAATCTAGGGTAGATATCCACCTAGGCCAACCTTTCATCCCTTCGTGGTCGGTTAATCGGTACTCGACTCGTTTGGGAGGATATAAGCACTGACTTGTACATCGGCTGGCCACCGAAAGTCATTGTGTAAACAACATACACTTTCAAAACATCATAACTGTTCTGAATGGAAGTCGTATGCAAGGCGCATCCCGCAAATGGGATTGATTAGGGCCAATACTCCATCAGAACGGTATTCAAAAATCTTTATTACACGACAATCTGTAAAAAAATAGTTATAGTAATCTAGTAGGCAATTTGAATTCACCTAAGGCAATTAAAAATTGACTTGAAACAAATGAAATATCACGTTTAAAAAGCAAATTTAAAAAATAGATTTTATTGATCCAATAGCTTTTACAATTTAACGTAACCTATAAATGAGCTAGGCAAACAATCTTATGAGCATCGATAAGTATAAGAAGAATAGCACGAGAATAATGTGATTAATACAAAAGCACACTTGATCACACAATTGGAAAATCAATAATCGATTGATCACCATTAAACTTACTGTGTTTCTGGCACACTTGCATTGGCGGCGTAGAGCATTTCATTAGTAGCCGTTGGATACGGTATTTGAGGCCATTCCTCGTAATGCATCATATCGGGTTGATAAAAGTAATTTGGCGATACCGTATCCTGTGGACCGTATCCGTACCAGGCATGGTCGTATTGTTGTGTCCACGGTGTCAATTGTTGACAACCAGGAAGATAGCCAGGGTACATCATGGTGGGACCTGGGGCAGCGATTGGTGGCACTGAATAGTTCGTGTTCACAATATTGCTTGATATAATCGATTGAATAAACATTTGGTGAATTGAAATTCTCCTTTCAACTGCTCCCATAAGGGCTGGGGAGGGGGGTGGAAAAAGTGGAACACAATATTTGTCTAGACATTAAGCCGCTCTCAGTCTTCCTTACAATCCCCTACGCTTCATGGAAACGTTTCATTTTATCTCGAAAAGTGTTGGAAAGAGGGTTAGGAATGGTCTTGTAGAAAATGTATTCAACAGCAAGGCCTTCCTCAATTTCCATAGTTTGGCTTTCCCTCATTTCTCCCCATCTCCTATCCTGCTCAAGTTCTGGGCGATTCTCAAAACAAGGGTGCAGAAGGAATATTAAAGACATGTCCCTTCCAACGAGAAAACGAGTCGTTAGCGGCGGTATGAATCTTAACCACGAATACGATCCTATTCTTCAGAACAGGATGAGTATTGTCCTGTGTGGGGATGTGGTGGAGAAGCTTCAAAATAAGTTAGAGCTATAGGGTACGTGCTATCTCAGTAGGGCTAAATGTTTTGGGACAGCTTCTGGGTGGAGTAGGTCCCCTTTAAAGAAGGAATGTTGATCAATTACTTCCAGCAACAATTCGTAAGACATCCGAACTCTATCACTCATGAATTGTATAGAAAAGTAATTGATGTTGTTAACTGATTGCTGAAGGTTATTGAATGGTTTAAATGATCTCGCTACCACCTCATCTTTTGCTCTGAGTTCGAACAAAAGCATACGTTGGCTGATCTGCCCTGCCTTGAGAACTGTTGTACGGTGTAATTAACTTACCAGTAGAAGTGCCGGCCGTTAAAGGATCCATCATCGTCTTGTCCATTGGATATTCGGGCATCGATTGAGGATACTCGAACTGAAATTGTATCTTCAACTACTGAAATGTAATGGAATGCAGAAACTCATGAAGTTTCAACAAGTTTCCAAATTTTAATAAAGAGCTCCATTGTAAAGTTCATAATCCTTTTAATATTCGGGTACTGTGCTGCGACCTGGCTACTTTGAAAGAAAAACTTCTCTTTGGAGAGGTTAGCCGAGTCGGTACTTTCTAGCTCTTTATAGTACAGGTAACTGAGTAGGGGTCGAGAAGTGGAGAACACCTACTCGGCTAGGGTAAATATGAGGCGTACTACTGAGTCCTGAACTATTGGCTGAAATATGAACTTCTAAATCCCTCTCAGAGGCATCAGGCGTACCATATAAAGGGAGAGATTCAAAAAAGAAGTCATAATTGTAACTACGGAACTTACTGGCCTGACTATATGACAGTTCCTTCTACTTCTCAAATAGTCAAACGTTACCCCCAGTGAAAGCTCGTATGGATTTTTCAACCATGACCGAGCAAGAGTTTCCCTCCCTTTTCAGATCGTTCAACTTGGGACCAGATTGACATGGAAAACTCTAAAAATCTGAGCGTTCAGACGTTTAGGGAACAATACCTTTTTCCTTAGTCGCACCTTCTCCTTCTTTCCTCCGCTCGAGTAGTTTATTGTAAGATTGAGTTTCAATTTTTGTTTTTATGCCTTTCTTTTTCTGATCCTTTTCAGGCCTAGCCGCTAGAGCCGCTAGAGCCGCTACAGCCGTTTTGCGGTAAGGTGTGAAAGTGCCGGAATCGACGGATCTGGTTGCAAGCGGGAACAAAGAGTAAATCGTTCTGGGAACGACCACATAAAACACTTGCTGTCGGCTCCGTCGCGCACTACCGTAATCCGATGCTAACAATGTTGATCCGACAGCGATAAATGACCGACCGAATGGCGACCGCAAATCTCAACAACGCTATCATTGCGACATCGATGTCAGTAGTACATAAGGCCATTGACTTCATTGTTTATCTAGACAATAGTAACGGATAATGCCCAAGGAATGCGCCATTTTTCTGAGTTCTGCTCACATTGAAAGCTTTTCTTGAGTGGGAGTTCAGTTTGAGGAGAGGTCTAAGACTTTCTGTTTTAGACTCGAATATCTCGTGCAAAGATAGGGTCCCGTCAGCCAGGAAGACCAACCTCGAGGGTTTTGCATTCAAAAATACACCCAAACGTAATAGGGGAGTTCTCGTACAAAGGCTCGAATGGCAACACATGTGGTCGTGTGCACTAGTCAATGAAAGGCGTCTGGCCGATAAGGGAAGCCAGACCAGATGCGGACGAGAATCAAGTGCTTTGGTGGCAGCAAATAGACAGGATGGAAACGACGGGTAGACAGATAGCACGTATGAGATATCATTTTCCTAGTTTTCCTAGAAAACTGTCCACATGTCGAGATGGGCCGAAATGGAAATGAATTTGAGCGAATCGGAAAGGAACTTGGAGCATTTTCCTAGATTATCCTAAAAATTCCGAGTATCGAAAAACGAATTCAAGTCAAGGTCAGAAATAGTCTAGCTATAATGCGGGGGCCCTTCAGATTAGGTTCAGGACCGAATTCGGCCAAGATGAGCCGAGGTTTCCTCCTTTCGAGAAGGTTCAACATGGTCAAGGCCTCTCTGGGAGGCAAAATTGATATATGCATCGATTTATACTAAATCAGTGAGTAAGCTTGAAATGGTTTCCGAATCCTTGAGGAGAAATAGTATTTCACCTGAGTGAACTGTCCGTAGACCGGCCGTTTTCTGGCTTTGTATCCACGCGGACGACGTCGGAAGGCTCCCTCTTCGAGCAGGAATTCGCAGTTATCCGAGATAGTCCACTTGTGACCTTTTCTACCACTGTAAAACTTTCTATAGTAAGCATAGTTTGATCAGATTTTATGGCAAGGCATACAATTTGGTATAAATATTTTATTATGAATGTTTCTGATATAAATAACTTACTAAAAATGTTTCAACGTTGAGCGGTGCTCTGAGTATATGGAAAATGAATCTAGCTTTCTGACAAATGCTTCAAACGCTTTCTAATAATTGATCGTTGGGCTTGAGTACGGTAGCAGAGCAGCTGTCATTTACTCCTAAGGCCTGCCTAAATGGCTATCATACGTGGCGGGTCTGAAAATTCCATTTCTGGCACAGACAGGTACAAAAATTACCCCCAGAAGGCTGTAGAGCAGATAATTCCTACGTAGTCGGTTAACTTTATGGTAAGATCAAGCTGGGTGGTCGATCTTTCTACAAGGCAAAGAGAAATTGAGCAGGAGCATGTTGGAGCTCCTTTCCTCACGTCTGACAAGGAATGATAGGAGGAGCAGCCACTTTTTCCCTACCACTAAGTTGAGGCTATGTAGTGTGTCCATTGCTTTAAAAACTTTGAAGATTCGAGGATTCAAAAATTATCGAGCCTTCTTGAATCAGTGAAATTACCGTAGGTAAGTTGTTAGAGAAAATTTAAACAAATTTGTATGAGACATCGACAGTCATTCATCGCTTTGCACTCAGGAGAAATGGTCTTATCAGAGGTTATTCAGAAAAATGAGAGTAGAGTCATATCGCTTACCGTTCTCCTGCTTCCTTTGGTAGCTTTACAAAGCAGTCGTTGAGTGAGAGATTGTGTCGAATTGAATTTCTCCAACCGACATATTCACCTCGAAAGAAATCAAAGTGTTCTTGGAGGAACGTGTAGATCTCCGCTAACGTGGCTCGTTTGTCCGGCCGCTTCTGAAATACAAAATTAGTCAAACTTTCCCTTGGAAGGGGGTAGCGAGTTCCTATGCGTAGTGTAACTCCCAGGGTGAAGCTAAGCAGTTACTTGATATTTATAACTTCGGGCTTCGGGATAATAGGTAAAATTTTTGGGGTTGAAGAAGCCCATGATCCCTGGCTCTCGAGGAATTCTTGACACAGGTTCATTCCTGGCAGTTCAGGAGCCCGTTTGAGCTACATCTCTCCCATTCACTTCTAAGATCATGTAGGAATAGGCGTAGTTTATGCATACGGGGAAGTATGCCTAGCCTGGCCTAAGTAATCGCTAAGCATTACTCTAAGTGGACATTCTTACTGTTTCTTGTGAGTGAACGGCTTATCTTGCAGACAGGCTGGTACCGTGGGTCATTGTGGAGGGCATATAGGGATTACCGCCCTTCAACAAAGTAATTTAGAGTGGAGTTGAGGCAGCCCTGAATCCTACCTGAATAGCCATCGCGATCAAGGCGATATAGCTGTAGGGAGGCTTTTCTTGCCGTTTTGTTCGATTTTTACGATTCCTTTTCGACGATGAAGTGATCTGAAAAATCGAGACGGTTAGGCTATGGATTAAAAAGGAAGACATTGAGGTAGGTTTAGAAGGATGACTGACTTCTTCCTCTTCGGTCTCTTCGTTCTTTACTGCCAACGGTTCCAACGAACATGCTAAGGACGTAAACGGTCCACTGAAAATTTTGATTTTTCAGAAGTGTCACGGTATTGAGCGCAAATTGACTATTTAGATCATACAAAAATATCTAAATTATGTATCATTTTACAATGGGACCCTACGTGAAATTTCGTCATCCACTCTCACCTAATTTTTCAAAAAAGAGTACCAGTTCGAAGTCTGCCTCCCAATAGCTGAACTAAGGATTACCAATTCCCACCTAAGAATTTCCAAGTGGTTTGCACTGCTGAAAATGAGAGTCTCCAAGGCAAGCCTGTCAAAAACTTTGTATCCAGGCGCTGATGGTTACCCAAGGGAAAGACTTATTTACAAGCAGCACTTTATCGCTTATCCTCTGGTAGCTCGTCACTTCGAATGAGGTCATTCTAAAAGCGTCTGATGACAGCGGAAATACCATCGGAGTTTACAATGATAGTCAGCTCAAAACAGAAGTATTGGCAAGTGATATTTCTGTCCTATGTATTATCAAGAGCTCCAATCCTATATTGCCATACCAGACTCAGCATGCTTTTCAGTCATTCTGAAGCCTCTAAGCCTTCATGTTCTAGAACAAATCGGTATCAGTTAGCAGTCGGTATCAGAGTGAATAAGAGGCGAAGTCAACAACTCCATAATTTGAGACTTTAGCTGTTAGAAGGTAAATGAGCGAGGAGAACTAATCGTTGCAAAAAATTGGGTACTGTTCCACATTTTATAACTCTTAAACATCAATTAAACATGCAAGTTATAAAAGTAATCAGCAAGAGTAAGGAATTATGTGAAAACTGCACTGAGTTCTGCTGGGATTTTTTGAAAATACGAGAAATTTCATCGTTAATTAAAACTGCTGTTTCGAGTTTCGCGGTTTGCCTTAGCTGGCAACGGTCCATAATAGTGATCAAAAGAGCAGGATGAACTATGAGGGAACTGCAGCTACCTTGTCACTTGCATGGCTTACTGGATGATTCCATAGTGCCTGTTAGGTAAATGCGGAATCTTGAGTTGAAGGGCTATGCACTCTGGGAACGACCTAGCCAGTTGAGGTGAAGGATTTCCTTTGACTCTTCCTCTCTTTCTGGCCTACCCTCACAAATTGGGTTCGGATCTCTTTTCTGAACGAGGAAAGACGAGGAGGGGGTAAAGGAAAATGAAGATCCGGACGGTTCAAACGGTTGGAGTTGTAAAAGGCCAAGGTCCATCAACTTTCCTCTATCGTACAAAAATAACCCTAAGGATATCAGTAATTTTTTGGTTGAGGCTTAGGCGCAAATTATCAAGACCGCCTGAATACTGTTGAAATGTTCAGACCAATCTGTCATCGAATGTTCATTGATCGAGTCGCTATTCGGACCTCAGACTGACACAGTATGTATCAAGGAGCATAAACTGCAAATTAAAAATAGAATTGGGAATAAGATGAAAAAAATCTCCAAAAATTTTCTGTCGTAGTGTCTACGACGACGCACCGGAGGACAATCTACACAACTTGGCCATCATTTACGAAGTTTGATAAACAAAACGCTTGTAAACTATACAATTTGTTCGATGGCTAAACATCTCATGTAAACTGTGCCAAAGAAGAGCTGCACGAGCATGAGCTGCTCCAGTCTTCTCTACGAGTTCCAGCTAAAATACTCATAGGATCCTTACCTTTTCATTGCCAGCAACTGCGAGTCCATTAGGGAAGTGACGATGAGCTGGCGCTGACTTATGGTGACGAGTGGTTGGGGGCAGACCTCGGCTACCGTAATCAGGGAAGGATGGCGAGGGATCAACAGTGGTGGTGGAGACGCAGACAAAGGGAGAAAACTTTGGACTTTTCGTTTATATGGGGGATAGCAGTGGAGGGATTGCGTGACGCTCATTGATGCCAATGGAATGACAATGGGGAACAGTGGAGGGGACAATGACTGGACGAAACTTTAGTTGAGATGCCGCCAGATGAGCTAGGTTTCTAATTGTAATAATGAAAAATTTTGGCCATTTCGTTGAGCCCTATGGCCCTATCTATTTCTATTTTTCTGTTTACTAATAATTAAATACAAGCATGTCACAATGGCTGTACTGAACTGATCCACACAATTCGAACCACTTAACCCAGCTCTTACAGTTTGCACTAAGCAAGAGAGGGACGAATTTTCTCTTAAATCGATCTGGCAGGTTGCTCTGACCTAGATTAATGAAGCATCGAACTTAGAACTATTGAGGTAACCTCATGTTGATAAACTTTTCAATACTTTGGTTTTCGTATTCCTGAATCATCGGAAGCTATCGTGTGTAACCACCCCAGTGGACTCCTAGTTTTTGAGCTGAGCTCCGAAAAAATTAGCCATAAGTTGTTCAATGAAAGCTTTAGAAAAGGATCAGTTACATCAAGAGTTACCAGTTGTCGCGAAACTTATGTCGCCCTCAAGCCGTTAAAGATGAAACGAAGCTCAAACAGCAAATTCTGCAGCCCCAGGCGAACGTCAGAAGCACGGCTCATTGATAAAGGTTATCAAAGTCTTGAATAGAACATAAACAGCCGTCCTCGTATAACTCCTACCGGAAAACACTTGTAAAAAGAGGTGTGTAAACCGAAGAAACGTTTCTGTAAACAAAAAAGGGAATAAACAGTTTATGTAATGTGTTCTGTTCCGACAGCCATTCGCTTATGTTCTTCTGCTGGATAGGTCTTCACAGTAGGTGGGTCCTGCCCTAACATTGCTTTTCTCGAATCCAGCTGATCCCTTTGTTGGCCTACTGGTTAAAGGTCTTTTTTAGGTTTTTAATATAAACTTTTACTTTTTTACCAAACCATTTCAAGCTCGTAGATAGGCTTAGGAGACAGAATCAAGCATTCATGGTACGAATTCGGCCCGTTCATGGAGGGCGAAATTTTGATGTATCATGTCGATCATTTCATGCATCTGGTAAGCTTGACCCTCGCTAAACTGTATTTTAACTACCTTCATTTTCTGTCAAGACGCTTATATCCTAGGCTGGTAAGGGAATGGAGCACTGAAGATGAAATTTGGAGGGGATTAAAAATTTGAGGTTCCCTGGTACCAGTGGGATTTGGCTTGAATGATATCAAATCTTCTTGTTTCAAAGTATACTCTGAAAATGATCAACATTCAAATGCATGGCGCATCTCAATGGAACTGGGGAGCAGTTTCCATGTGAGTTTTCGTTTCGTCTTTTCCTTTGCGTTCTCTTTGCTTTTCAAATTTTAGTTCTCATTTCTTTGCAATTCATCCAAAAATACACCTTGCTCCTCCGCATAATTATCTAATTTTAATTTGTAGTCTAGCCAAGTACATCCACATATTTTCGGGAGAGAATGACTAGAGCAGTTCAACCTTAGACAAAAACCATTCCTACCTATTTCAACGATTCTCTTCTTCTTTTCACCTTCTTTTTCTCTTTTCTTTACTTTCTCTTTTCTTTTTTTCACCCTACCTACCTACGTAACTGTTATTATTCGTGTCTTTACATTTTTCTATTGCTTTTCCCTATGTTTACTAAGCTTTTTTCCATCAAAAATGCCTGTTCATAAAATGTAAAGATCTAAAACAATGATTTAATCCCAATTCACAATTTTATGAAAAAGATTCATCTAAATGAGGGGAAGCTTCAGTTGTGAGAAAAAGTTTTTCACCGATAGGCTGCTGGTCATGTAATTCAATCGGGGCATTCAGTGGCTGGGTGTTGCGGGACGATTGCGCCATCCCGGCGTCATCGATGAGGTTCGAAACAACACTTGCAACCGGATCGGTGTGCCCTCTCCTAGTCGGATTCTATGATTGACATATCTCGGTCAACAGTTTACTTCCGGACAACGAGGTTAGTAATGGTGGGGAAGTGTGGATCAGCTGAAGAGACTTGAAGGTCTTTTTTGAGTACATTGAGAAATAGAGAATCGATTAGAAGGTCTTAGAGCATGTCTACATATTAGATTGAAAGGAAACTATCTCCCTTAAATTTCGTAATAGTCCAGTTTCCTCTGGAAATTTTTGGAAGCTTCCATAGAAGTGCTGTGGAACACTGTTCTTTTGTATGAGCATAACATATCAGAAGAATTCATTCCATAATTCTACCCAAATCGAGGTTCATCCTCAACCTTTTTGTTTAAGGCCTTTAAGTGTTGGAACGAGTTGTTCACAGAACTGCTTGAAAGGGGCTTTAAAACGCAATGCTTGACACAGGATTCAACTGGTCCCATCAGCGGACTAGCCGGATTCAAACTCGTAAAGAAGGGGTGTGGTGCGTTAGGAACGAAATGGTCGCGTCGCGATGAGAGGGGCGTCGCGCGCAAAGGAATGTAGCAGGATGCAGCAGTAGGTAAGAAATTCAAGAACAAAAGTACTAATAGTAGAATTATACATAAAATAATGATCGCATATCGATTGAGCTGTATGAAGA